AAGAGTTTTCCCTTACTGAAAAGAGGGAATCCAGGACACAGAATTGGGTTTCATTTTATATTCCATACAGTAGAAAAAGTATAAAAGAAGAGTTGATTGTATGGAAGAAATCATCCTGGTCAGTTACAGACAAGGACAGTAACATCCCATAATATTAAGGATAACCACCGAAATGACCATTGAATTAAAAACAGAATGTTCAGATGGGAAATGGCATCATGAGTCACGAAAGTCTGTTGTGAAAAGGTACAATTTCAGCCAGTTGAAACATCAAGCATGTACGATTGAAAAAGTCCTTTGTTATTCAGCCTGAGAAAGTCCCTTATTTGGCAGTTATTATTTACCCTTATTATCTTTATTCAACCGTCTTATTGGAATTATTATAAGTACTATCATGAATATCATTATTCTGTTGCTTTGTAGGTACACTGAGAGCTTTTGCACTCAAGACAAATTCCTACTGTGTCTATTCATACTTGGCCAAATTAAATATGCAATTCAATTCAATTCCTGAGATACCTTCTGTGACTTCTCACACTCAGGCATGTTTATCATTTTTCTCCCACGTGAATTCTTTGGTGTCGATTGAGGCTACTACTCTCAATATAGCTCTTTCCACACTCAAGGCATTTATGTGGTTTCTCTCCTGAGTGGATTCTTTGATGCACGTAAAGATTTCCTCTCCGATTGAAGCTCTTTCCACAATCAAGACATTTATGTGGTTTTTCTCCTGTATGAATTATTTTATGTCGACGGAGATTTACACCGTTAGTAAAGCTCTTTCCACACTCCAGGCACTTATGAGGTTTTTCTCCTGTGTGGATTCTTAGATGAGTTTGAGTATAGTCATTTCTTTTGAAGGCTTTTCCACACTTGAGGCATTTGTATGGCTTCTCTCTTGAGTGGATCCTTAGATGCCTTTGAAGACTTCCCTTTCTTTTGAAAGTTTTTCCACATTCGGGTCACTGATGTTTCTTTCCTCCCTCCTGGATCCTTTGGGGCCTTCTGAAGGAGCCTCCGCCCTCCAGGCATTTCTTCGGTATCTCTATCAAATGGATCCTTTGATGTCTATGAAGGTGGCTGGTATGACGAAAGCTCTTTCCACACACCAGGCATTTATGAGGTTTTTCTCCTGAGTGGATCCTTTGATGTGTATAAAGATGTCCCCTCTGACTGAAGCGCTTTCCACACTCCAGGCATTTATGAGGTTTTTCTCCCGTGTGGATCCTTAAATGACTTTCAAGATGGTCGTTTCTTTTGAAGAATTTTTCAAATTCTGGGCATTCATATTTCTTTTCTCCTGAGTGGATTTTTAAATGGTTTTCAAGATTTCCCTTTCTTTTGAAGGTTTTTCCACATTCCGGGCACTGATGTTCCTTTGCTTCCCCCTGGATCCTTCGGGGCTTTCGGGGTCTTCCGAAGGAGCCTCTGCCCTCCAGGTATTTCTTTGGTTTCTCTCCCCAACGGATCCTTTGATGTCTATAAAGGCTGCTCCTCTGACTGAAGCTCTTTCCACACTCCAGGCACTTATGAGGTTTTTCTCCTGTGTGGATTCTTAGATGAGTTTGAAGATGGTCATTTCTTTTGAAGGTTTTTCCACACTCAAGGCATTTGTATGGCTTTTCTCCGGAATGGATGTCTATTTGATGTCTACTAAAGTGGCTCCTAGAATTGAAGCTCTTTCCACACTCTGGGCATTTAAGTGGATTCTTTCTTGAGTGGATTTTTAAATGGTTTTCAAGATTTCCGTTTCTTTTGAAGGATTTTTCACATTCCGGGCATTCGTATTTCTTTCCTCTCTTGTGGATCCTTTCGGAATTCCCAGATCTTCTGAAAGTCTCTCCACCCTCCAAGCATTTATTCCGTTTCTCTCCTGAGTGGATTCTTTGATGTCTATAAAGATATTCCTTCCGACTGAATCTCTTTCCACACTCCAGGCATTGATATGGCTTATCTCCAGAATGGATCCTCTGATGCTTATAAAGGTTTCACAACTGACTGAAACTCTTTCCACATTCTAGGCATTTATGAGGTTTTTCTCCTGAGTGGCTTCTTAAATGTCTATCAAAGTTGCTCCTATAATTGAAGCTCTTTCCACACTCCAGGCATTCAAATATATTCTTTCTTGAGTGGATGCTAAGATGCCTTTGAAGATAGTCGTTTCTTTTGAAAGTTTTTCCACATTCCGGGCACTGATGTTCCTTTCCTCCCTCCTGGATCCTTCCGGGCTTTGAGGGTCTTCCGAAGGAGCCTCCGCCCTCCAGGCTCGTCTCGGGGTCTCCGCCCATTTCCTCCTCCCTGCATTGCCCTCCAGGCAGCCGCCTTTCCCGGGCTCCCCCTGGGCTCCTCCCTCCTGCAGCCCCAGAGCCCCCTGGCCTTTCCCGCCGTCTCCAGGGGAAGCCGCGCCGGAACCGGGCAGGGCTGCTCCGTGGGGCCCGCTCTCCTCCTTCTCCTCTCAGGCGGCGCCTCTTTCCTGCATCCGCCGCCACCCTCCGTTCCCCTGCAGGGGAGAGAGAGAAGAGGGTCACGGCTGCCTCCCCTTCCCCGCAGGAGAGGCCCAGGCCCAAGCCCCCACCTTCCACGGGCCTCCCGGACATTCTCCAGACAGACACGGCCTCATTCCCAGCCTCCCGTCTCCCTCCCCGCCCGCCCCCAGAGTAGGCCTCGGGCTCCCAAGGCTCCCTTCTCTGGAGAGACTCTCTGTCGCCGATTCAGGCACCTTCCCTCGTGCCCATTCTGTTTCCGGAAGTGGAGGCTTCACGCCCTTTTTTTCTCCACTAGTTCCGCCTTTTCCTTTGGAGGATCCGCCCCACGGAGTCCATTTGCCCATCGCCGACATCCCGAGCGCGACCAATCAGCGTCCTTCTTCCCTCAACAAGGCAGATGGCGCCTGCGTGGTGCCGCCAGTTATTACGGTCCGGGGCGGAGGTGGGGGGGTCTCCCTTTGAACTTTGGGGTCCCGTCTCCCCCCACCTCGTATTGAGGGAGGGGGAGGTCAGGGGGTCTTCTGGGGATGCGACCTTATACCAGCCCATGAAGGGCAGCCAGTTGTGTCTATTCTGGGACCTTACGAGACCCTGAGTTTGAATCAGACGCTCTTTCAGTCCAGCCCACCTCACAGGGTTGTTGTTGGGGGAAGAGAGGAGGAAGCTGTGCTGGATGGGAGGGGGGAGGGGCTCCTGGGGGCTTCTCTTCTTGCAGATGTTTCATTGCCCAAAGTAGCTTCCTTCCTGATGGCTAGAAGGGAGGGGGGCTCAGAGAGCTCCAAAGACCCCTCAGTTCAACCCTCAGCTGCAAATAGTCCCCTTCATTTTGCTGCATGTGTTCTTCCCCTTATTTGTAAAAATAAATCCAGGATTCTAATAAATTCTCTATATGGATTCAATAACTGACAAATTTGTTTTTAAGAAGCAACTACATGGCCTCTATTTGATCCAGGAGAATTCTTGTTCCGAGATAGAAGAAGAGGGAGCCAAGCTATTCTCCAAAGCCCCTGAGGGCAGGACAAAAGAAGCAACGGGTGGAAACTCATCAAGGAGAGAAACAACTTAGAACTAAGGAGAAATTTCCTGACAGTTAGAACAATTAACCAGGGGAAGAACTTGCCTCCAGAAGTGGTGAACGCTCCAACACTGGAAGTTTTAAAGAAGAGATTGCATAACGATTTGTCTGAAGTGCTGTAGGGTTTCCTGCTTAAGCAGAGGGTTGGACTAGAAGACCTCCAAGGTCCCTTCCAACTCTGTGATTCTATTCTAATTTGGAATTCATGCACAAAAGCAGACCGTCCCCAGTTAAAGAGGACCTAAGGATGAAAACGTCCTGCCAATGGTTCCTGCTATCATTCCAAAAACTTTGGAAAAAGGAGGCAGGGAATCAGGCAATTTTGATAGGATCCAAATTGGGTTCTTTCTGGGTCCCTTTAACTGCTGGATCCCTCAACACTTGGAACTTGGCCAAAAGAGGGTCATGTGCCTTGGGGGTTCAGCATCATTAAGCTCTGCAGTATTTTGTTTTGGCAGAAGTGGTTCAAGGGAGACAGGATTTTGCTTTCTGTCCTGGATTGCTGTATTACTTTGGGATTCAGAAAAAGTTGCCTCACCTAAGCAGAAAAAACGGAGGGAGCTCACCTGGGATGATGGAACAAAGCACAAAACAACATGGCAACACAAAGGGTGTGATGAGAAGTTTATCCAGAGCCACATTAATGAGTGGAGCTTCCGTGTCATCATATTCAGCATGTATCATCATTTTCTTAGAACATATTTATCTTTCCTCTTACATTTAAATTTAATGTATTGCAACAAATTTTCCCCATATTTCTTATTTTTACATTGCCTATTGCCTATATTCAGTCTCTATCCATTGATAAAATTGCCCCCATATGCTGTAACACTCCGATTCCTCCTTCCCACTAATTGCTAATATTAATCTATTCATTTCTGCACATTCTAATATTTTCTTAATTAGCTCTCCCTTTGTAGGAATTTTTTTCTGCTTCCCAATTTTGTGCAAATACCATTCTTGCTGCCTTTATTACATGAATAATCAAATATGTATTTTCTCTACTAAATTTCTCCGGTTAGATACCCAACAGGAACAGCTCCGGCTTAAGATCAATGTGTTGCTGTATCAGTTTTTGTGATTATTGTGCCCAATAATTTCTCGCTTCTGGACATGTCCACCACATGTGATAGTACGATCCCAATGTCTGGTGGCATTTCCAAAATTTAGCTGATTTATCTTTGAACATTTTTGCCAATCTATATCCGGTGACATGTGCCATCTATAAAACATGTCACCAGAAAGATTGGCAAAAATGTTCAAAGATAAACTTTGTTTAAATTTTTAAATGAATGTTGTACCAAGATGTTACACTGATTAATGATGAATTGTTTGTTTAAAAAAAAATATTTTTTTTCTCAAAAAAAAAAAAAAAAGAGTGGAGCTTCCCTTGACAGAGGCAGTCTATATCCAAAAATCTGCCTTTTGTGCAAAAATAGGAGAACTGGGCAGCTTGAGTGATTGGTTTGGTCGCCTCCTTCAGACATTTGCCTGGCACTGGTGGGTGTGGAAAAGGCGGAGCAGGTGAGCCTTGGGAGGAGGCCAAGGGAGGCCTGCCATCTCTGAGGGAATTCTGAGGGCTTCATGACCTCACCCATGCAGGCTCAACTGCCAGTTACTGTCAGTTATCAGAGTGAAGGTGCCTTCCAAGAGGTGGGTTGGTTTCTGAAGGGCTCCTGGACTCTGGGAAATCTTCCCTCTATTTGCAGCCAATTTACCAGAGTTGTATTGCAAGGGGGAAAATGCCCATTTGGCCTCTTACCTGCCTGGGTGCCCCTCCAACCTCCCCCCCACCTTGCCTAGGGAGGGAGCCTGGATGGGGGGGGAGTCCCAGTCCCAGAAGGGCCCCTCAACCTCTGCCTGTCAGAATGCAGGAGGGGCCCCCCAAAGGAGAGACCGGACCCCAAAGATCAAAGGGAGCCCCCCCTGCCTCACCTCTACACGGGACTCGGGACTTGTGCAGGCGCCCTCTGGCTGCTTGAAGGAAGGCGGACGCCGATTTAGCTGATGAAGAGAAAGCCTAGTAATGGGGGACTTTATCCTGACAACTGGGGGACACCCAGTCTCTGCACCTAGTGGGGGATCAAAGAGGTCCCCAATGAGTCATTTAAAGCATTCTTTTAACTGCCCATCATTCAGTCAACTCACTGCAGCTCCCCAAAAGCTGTTTTAAAAACAATACAACACATTAAAACATGGAAAATGAAAACAAAGAAAATCCAGGCGCCAATCCATGCCACCTTCTCCTTGTCTGATCTCCCAGCGCCTGGGGAAAAGCCGGGTGTTTAAGGCTGAAAGGCTGGAGGCCCTTTGAGAATCCGGCTCGTATCTCACAAAGCTTCCTTGGCCTTAGAGAGTCCCTTTAGCAGTTTCTGCTGGAAGACAAGGGGACCGTCGAGAGAATCGAATTGACAAGAGTTTCTGATGTCTGGGGAGGGTCTTACATGGTATGGACAGTTCACACCCCCAACAATGGAGGCCAAATTAGCCCTAGATTCAGCCACGGCACACTTGCTTCACTTAGGCACTGAGTGGGATGACTATTTAAAGGCAACTTATTAGAATATTGTAGCAAAGAGATTTCCCTTAATGAAAAGAGGGAATCCAGGACACAGAATCGGGTTTCATTTTATACTCCATACAGTAGAAAAAAAAATACAAAACAAGAGCTGATTGCATGGAAGAAATCACTCTGCTCAAGTTACACTTACATCAGAGACATGGACAGTAACATCCCATAATATTAAGCATAAGCATTAAAAGAACATTCACATGGGAAATGACATGTCTCTTGTGAAAAGGTACAATTTAGACCAGTTGAAAAATCTAGCATGTACAATTGAAACAGTCCTTTATTATTCAGCCTGAGAAAGTCCTTTATTTGGCAATTATTATTTACCCTTATTGTCTTCTTTACTCATTTGGAGTAAAGACCAATAATTCCTCTTATTGGAATTATTATAATTATCATGAATATGCACTAGGTGAATTCCTAGGGTGTCTATTCACATTTGGCCAAATTAAATATACAATTCAATTCAATTCCCGAGATACACCGTGACTGAAGGTCTTCTCACACTCAGGTGTGTTTTTCATTTTTCTCCCACGTGAATTCTTAGGTGTTGATTGAGGCTACTACGCTCAGTATAGCTCTTTCCACACTCCAGGCATTTATGAGGTTTTTCTCCTGAGTGGATCCTTTGATGTTTATAAAGGTTTCCCCTCTGACTGAATCTCTTTCCACACTCAAGGCATTTATACGGTTTTTCTCCTGAGTGGATCCTTTGATGTGTATAAAGGGTGCTGCTATGAGTGAAGCTCTTTCCACACTCCAGGCACTTATGAGGTTTTTCTCCTGAGTGGATTCTTTGATGTGTATAAAGGCCGCTGCTATGAGTGAAGCTCTTTCCACACTCCAGGCACTTATGAGGTTTTTCTCCTGAGTGGATCCTTTGATGTGTATAAAGGGTGCTGCTATGAGTGAAGCTCTTTCCACACTCCAGGCACTTATGAGGTTTTTCTCCTGAGTGGATCCTTTGATGTTTATAAAGGGTGCTGCTATGACTGAATCTCTTTCCACACTCAAGGCATTTATGAGGTTTCTCTCCTGTGTGGATCCTTTGATGTGTATAAAGATGTCCCCTCTGACTGAAGCTCTTTCCACACTCCAGGCATTTATGAGGTTTTTCTCCTGAGTGGATTCTTTGATGTGTATAAAGATGTCCCCTCTTACTGAAGCTCTTTCCACACTCCAGGCACTTATGAGGTTTTTCTCCTGTGTGGATCCTTTGATGTATATAAAGTTTGCTGCTCTGAATGAAGCTCTTTCCACACTCAAGGCACTTATAAGGTTTCTCTCCTGTGTGGATCCTTCGATGTGTATAAAGGCTGCTGCTATGAGTGAAGCTCTTTCCACACTCAAGGCACTTATAAGGTTTCTCTCCTGTGTGGATTCTTTGATGTGTATAAAGGCCGCTGCTATGAGTGAAGCTCTTTCCACACTCAAGGCATTTATGAAGTTTTTCTCCTGAGTGGAACCTTTGATGTTTATAAAGGTTGCTCCTCTGACTGAAGCTCTTTCCACACTCAAGGCATTTATGAGGTTTTTCTCCTGAGTGGATTCTTCGATGTGTATTAAGGTTGCTCCTCTGACTGAATCTCTTTCCACACTCAAGGCATTTATGAGGTTTTTCTCCTGAGTGGATTCTTTGATGTGTATAAAGGTTGCTCCTATCACTGAAGCTCTTTCCACACTCCAGGCACTTATGAGGTTTTTCTCCTGTGTGGATAATTAGATGCCTTTGAAGATTTCCGTTTGTTTTGAAAGTTTTTCCACATTCCAGGCACTGATGTTTCTTTGCTTTCTCCTGGATCCTCTGGGGCTTTCGGGGTCTTCCAAAGGAGCCTCCGCCCTCCAGCCCCGTCTCGGGGTCTCCGTCTGTTTCCTCCTCCCCGCATCGCCCTCCAGGCAGCCGCCTTTCCCGGGCTCCCCCTGGGCTCCTCCCTCCTGCAGCCCCGGAGCCCCCCGGCCTTTCCCTGCCGTCTCCCGGGGAAGCCACGCCGGGGCCCGCTCTCCTCCTCCTCCTCTCGGCCGCCGCCTCTTTCCTGCATCCGCCGCCATCCTGCAGGGGAGAAAGAGAAGAGGGTCATGGCTGCATCCCGTTCCCCGCAGGGGCAGCCCAGGCCCAAGCCCCCCCCTCGTGCGGACCAGAAAAACTCTCCCGGACTACGATTCCCAGCATCCCCTGCGCCAAACCTGCATCAAATGGCCTCCTCTATCGCCGATTCAGGCAGCTTCCTTCGTTGCCCATTTTGTTTCCGGAAGTGGAGGCTTCCGGAAGTGGAGGCTTTTTTCTCCACTAGTTCCGCCTTTTCCTTTGGAGGAACTGCCACTCAGAGTCCATTTGCCAATCGTCGACATCCCGAACAAGACCAATCAGCGGCCTTCTTAAACTTTGGGGTCGGGTCTGATCCCCCCCCCGTATTGAGGCTGGCGGAGGTCAGGAGTTGAAGCCTTATATCAGCCCATGAAGGGCAGCCAGTTGGGTCTATTCTGGGACCTTAGGAGACCCTGAGTTTGAATCAGCCGCTCTTTGTGTCCTGGATTCCCTCTTTTCATTGAGGGAAATCCCTTTCCTTAATAAATTGCCTTTGAATGCTCATCCCACTCAGATCCTAATTGGAGCAAGTGTGCTGTGGCTGAATCTAGGGCTCATTTGGCCTTCATTGTTGTGAGTGCGAAGGAGCTTCTCCCTGCCATTGTTTGATATAATCTATGTGGATTTCCCAAATGTGGGGACCTATTAAGACCATCCCCAGCATCTGAAACTGTCAGTTGGATTCCCTGAATGATCCCCTTGTCTTCCAGCAGAAACCCCTACAAGGGACTCTCTAAGGCCAAGGAAGCTTTGTGAGATATGAGCCATATTCTTAAAAAGCCCCCACCCTTTTAGCCTTAAAACACCTGCCTCTTCCCCAGGTGTTGGGAGGTCAGACAAGGAGAAGCTGGCATGGATTGGCCCCCAGGTTTTTGTTTGTTTCTTTGTTTTTAAAATGGCTTTCTGGGAGCTGCACAGAGTTTAACTTCAAAGTCTAACAATTGGAGCAGCCCTCAACTGCAGCCCTTGGACAGGGATCAGGCAGGGATCTCGTCCACAGCTGCCCCGTTGAGAATCCAACATTCCTACAGATATCTGCAGTGCTGGTGTTTCTGGATGCGGAGAAGGCCTTTGATAGAGTGGGTTGGAACTTTCTATTAAAGATTTTGAGAAAAATGGACTTTGGGGATCAGTTTACACAGGCGGTTTCAGCAATTTATCAACAACAAATGGCACAAATTATTATTAATGGAAGTCTGACTACAAATTTTAGTATTGAAAAAGGAACAAGACAAGGTTGTCCGTTATCCCCATTGTTATTTATTCTAACATTAGAAGTCTTGTTGAATACAATGCGGGATTCAAACTTATTACATGGCATAGCTATTAGGCATGAGGATTATAGGACCAAGGCATTTGCAGATGATCTGGTTTTTACCCTAACACAGCCGATGGAATCAATAATTCAGATGAAAGACATTATAAAAGAATATGGTATGATATCAGGATTTAGACTGAACCAGAAAAAGACTAAGATGATTGTTCAAAATATGACACAAGATCATAAGCAGGAACTTGAAAGCAAGGCAGGCTTTGAAATAGTATCAAAAGTTAAATATTTAGGAGTACAAGTTGCAGACTCAAATATAAAATTATTTCAAAATAATTATGAGGTGTTGTGGCGAGAGGTACAAAAGGATTTGGAGACGTGGAAAAAACTGCAACTGTCGTTGCTTGGAAGAATAGCAGCAGTTAAGATGAACGTTTTGCCTAGATTTCTCTTTTTGTTTCAAATGATTCCGGTGCTTAAAAGTGATAAGCAATTGAGAGAATGGCAAAATGGACTGAATAAGTTTGTCTGGAATGAGAAAAAGCCAAGAGTCAAACTGAAAATTATGCAAGATGTTCCAGAAAGGGGAGGCCTTAAACTTCCAAACCTACAATTGTATTATGAAGCAGCAGCTTTGACGCAAGCAAGTGATTGGTTTGGAAGGATAAAGACTGGAATATTGAATATAGAAAGTCATGATCTTGAATTTGGTTGGCATGCATATTTATTCTATGAGAACAAAGTGGATAAAGTATTCAAAAGCCGCATTCTTAGGAACTCTTTGATGAGAGTTTGGAAGAAGCACCGATTCAAATGGGATTACAAAATACCATTATGGCTGGATCTTGGTCATATCATGTGGAATACAAATATAATGTCACTCGGGGGGGGGGGGTTATACAAAGAAGTTCTTTTTATGGATGGGGGCAGATGGCAATTAAAGACATTAGAAATACTGTTGGAAGAATTTAACTTGGCTACAGTATAATCAACTTCAACTGAGATGGAAAGAAGATAAAAAAAACTGGTATAATGATGCATGAAGAAGAATTGGTTAGACATATAAGAGAGAAAGGTCCAATGCATATTAAGAGGGTTTGCTAGAAAGGGATTCGGAAAATGAATTGGTTAAAGATTGTATGATAAAGTGGGCACAAAATTTTGCAGAACCAGTGATGTTGGAAACATGGGAAAAAATATGGGTCTAGAATGTTAAATTTACACAGTTGCAGAATCTGAGGGAAAATTTTTATAAAATGTTTTATAGGTGGCATTTAGATCCTAAGAAATTATCGTGTGTGTATCCTAATGTTCAACCAAAATGCTGGAGATGTGATTGCATAGATGCCACATATTATCATATGTGGTGGACTTGTAAGAAAGTGAAGGCTTTTTGGATAAAAATTTGGTGGGTTATGCAAAATGTTTTGAAGAAAAAACTTCAGTTTGCTCCACAACTGTTTCTATTGGGTATAGTTAAGGGTTTTACTTTGGGTGAAACAAAGCTGATATTGTATATGGTGACAGCAGCGAGATTATTGATAGGTCAATACTGGAAAAATGAAGCTATGCCCACTATTGAAGAATGGACTTTGAAGATGGCCAGTTTTGCAGAGATGGCGAAGATTTCAGCATATTTAAAAGACCGAACTCAAGAGTCTTATGTATGGAAGTGGAAAAAGTGGATAGATTATGTGCAGAATAAATATCAAACTAGGAAATATCAGATAGCTTTTAGCTGAATGAATGTATTATGTAGGGATAGATTAATTGAGTTTTATGAAGGTATAAATAGTATACAGGGGGTGGAGGGGTTTAAGTTTCACAAAACTGTATTCTCGATTAGCATTTTATTTTGTGGAAGTCCTGGGGGGGAAAGGGGAGGGTTAGGGAGGGTTTGGGGGGGTGGAAATTGGGGAGAAAATGTATTTGTAAAACTTTTTAAATAAAAAAAGAGAGAGAGAGAGAGAATCCAACATTCCTGAACCACCATCCAGACTCATACAAGGCCTCCCGCCCCTCCCAGGACAGCCTGCTCTGCTAGTTGCCATCAGAATGACCGACAGCAGTCAAACTCAGGTCTGGGACCCTGGGCATGGCCCTGGAAGACTAAAGGAATTTATTAAAAGAAAAAAATATTAAATTTATTAAAAGTGAAAGTTTTAATTGGATTTTATTACCTTTCTTGCCAGGCACTTATGAGGTTTTTCTACTGAGTGGATCCTTTGATGTCTATAAAGATCTCCCCTCTGACTGAAGCCCTTTCCACACTCCAGGCATTGATATCGGTTTCCAACTGAGTGGTTTTTTAGATGGTTTTCAAAACGTCCATTTGTTCTGAAGGATTTTTCACATTCCGGGCATTTAAATGGTTTCTCTGCTGTGTGGATTTTTAAATGGTTTTCAAGATTTCCGTTTGTTTTGAAGGTTTTTCCACATTCCGGGCACTGATGTTCCTTTCCTCCCTCCTGGATCCTTTGAGACTTTCGGAGTCTTCCGAAGGAGCCTCCGCCCTGCAGGTCCGTCTCGGGGTCTCCGCCCGTTTCCTCCTCCCCTGGGCTCCTCCCTCCTGCAACCCCGGAGCCCCCGGCCTTTCCCCACTGTCTCCCGGGGAAGCCGCGCCGGGACCGGGCAGGGCTGCTCTGCAGGGCCCGCTCTCCTCCTCCTCCTCTCAGTCGGCGCCTCTTTCCTGCATCCACCGCCATCCTCCGTCCTCCTGCAGGGGAGAAAGAGAAGAGGGTCACGGCTGCATCCCCTTTCCCGCAGGGGAGGCCCAGGCCCAAGACCCTGCCTCCCATGGGCCTTTCAGGCATTCTCCAGGCGGACACGGACTCTCTCCCAACCTCCCGTCTCCGTCCCCGCCCTCAAGATTAGGCCTCAGGCTCCCAGGCCACTGGAGAGACCCTCCCGGACTTCAACTCCCAGCATCCCCTGTGCCAACCTGCATCAAACGGCCTCCTCTATCGCTGATTCAGGCTGCTTCCCTTGTTGCCCATTTTGTTTCCGGAAGTGGAGGCTTCACGCCCTTTTCTCTCCACTAATTCCGCCTTTTCCTTTGGAGGATCCGCCCCTCGGAGTCCTCCTGCCCATCACCGACATCCCGAGCGCGACCAATCAGCGTCCTTCTTCCTGCAACAAGGCAGATGGCGCCTGCGCAGTGCCGCGGGTTATTACGGTCGGGGCGGAGGTGGGACGGAGGGGGGGGAGGATTTATATCAGCCCATGAAGGGCAGTCAGTTGGGTCTATTGTGGGACCTTCGGAGACCCTGAGTTTGAATCAGCCGCTCTTTGTGTCCTGGATTCCCTCTTTTCATTGAGGGAAATCTCTTTGCTACAATATTCTAATAAATTGCCTTTGAATGCTCCTCCCACTCAGATCCTCATTGGAGCAATTGTGCTGTGGCTGAAATCTAGGGCTCATTTGAACTTTATTGTTCTGGGTGTTAAAGAGCTTCTCCCTGCTGTTGTTTGATAGAAAATTATCTTTAAATAGATTTTTACTCCAAAAGCATTTTATTAAAATGAATTTGATAAAAATAAAAAAAATGATTTAAGTTAAAAAAAAACTGATTTTCATATTTTAAAATAGATTTTTGTTGACACTGATTTTTTCTATGCAATCAACTTTTTACTTTTTCTACTGTTGTGGAGTATAAAATGAAACCTGATTCTGCGTCCTGGATTCCTTCTTTTCATTGAGGGAAATCTCTTTGCTACAATACTCTTAATAAGTTGCCTTTAAATGCTCATCCCACTCAGATCCTCATTGGAGCAAGTGTGCTGTGGCTGAATCTAGGGCTCATTTGACCTCCATTGTTGGGGGTGTGAACTGTCCATACCATGTAAGACCCTCCCCAGACATCAGAAACTCTTGTCAGTTGGATTCTCTCAACGGTCCCCTTGTCTTCCAGCAGAAACTGCTAAAGGGACTCTCTAAGGCCAAGGAAGCTTTGTGAGATATGAGCCATATTCTTAAAAAGCCCCCACCCTTTTAGCCTTTAAACACCTGGCTTTTCCCCAGGCGCTGGGAGGTCAGACAAGGAGAAGGTGGCATGGATTAGCACCAGGTTTTTCTTTGATGGTTTTTTTTAAATTACATTTAAATTACATTTTAATTTATTTTATTTTTATTACGTTGGGGGGGAGGAGGGAAGGGAGGGGCTCCCTTTGAACTTTAGGGTCCGGTCTTCCCCCTCCCCCCACCTCCGTATTGAGGCCGTCGGAGGTCAGGGGCTCTTCTGGGGCTGCAGCCTTATACCAGCCCATGAAGGGGAGCCAGTTGGGTCTATTCTGGGACCTTCGGAGACCCTGAGTTTGAATCAGCCGCTCTTTCAGTCCAGCCCACCTCACAGGATTGTTGTTGGGGGAGGAGAGGAGGAAGCTGTGCTGGACGTGGGGGGGGAGGGGCTCCTGGGGGCTTCTCTTCTTACAGACGTTTCATTGCCCAAACTAACATCATCTTTGCTAGAAGGGAGAGAGACCCCTCATGGCAACCCTCAGCTACAAATATTCCCCTTCATTTTCTTGGATTTGTTCTCCACCTTATCAGTAAAAGTAAGAAAGGCAGGTTGCAAATAAATAACTATACTCTCTCCATGTGACTCTCTCAAGTGTGTTTCTAAGCAGCATCAACTATTTGATCCAGGACAATTCTTGTTCCTAGGTAGAAGAACTAGGAATTCCTGCACAAAAGCTGAGCAGCTCCAGTTAAAGAGGACTGGAGGCTCCGAATCTCCTGCCAACGTTCCTGCTGGTGAATTTCCTCATAGAAATCAATAGCTCATTGTGGGAAAAAGGGAGCAGGAAATCATGCAATTTTGAAAGGATCTAAGTTGGTTTCTTTCTGGGTCCCTTTAACTGCTGGATCCTTCAGCATTTGGAACTTGGCCAAAAGAGGGTCATGTGCTTTGTGGGTTCAGCATCATTAAGCTGTAAGGTCCCAAAATATACTTGAGTCACCAGAATGCGAAAGAGAGAGACTCAAGACGAGGCTTGCAAAAAAAAGCAGATTTTATTCATGGCCAAAAACAAAATACTGGGTGGGACTATATCCGGAACATACAGATACAATGCATGCGAGGAGATAGGCACCCCTTGGGGAAGGTATGGCGTCCTTTTACACCCTCAGAGACATCAGCTTAGTACCCAATTCTGGCCTCCTAGTTTAGCTTTGTGTATTCCTTGTTGCCCTGCAAGGGAATAGAAGCCTCCCAATTAGCCTTATCTCTTCCTTTGTTCTCCCAATTGCTCATTTGGCCCCCTGGGCTGCAGGGAACAGATCAAAGGTGGAAGTTAGGGCTGAAGTGTAAATTATCCCTCGGATGATGATGTCTGCAGTTCCAGCTGAGATGCCTACCATGCTCTTAGATGGCAGGAGAAAAACAGGAAGAAGATGGATATGGGTTCAGATCAAATGGCAGGAACAAATGTTTGACAAATACCAGAGACATTACAGAGGCCTAATAACAGAATGTGTTTGTTACAGGAGATACATAAAGGCATAATATATGTGATTCAAATGCAAAGGCATATATGTATTACAGGAACCTCATGGTTACAGAATCTGGTATACCAGTATGTCATATTCTAGTATTCTTTATTATATCCTTATTATTTTTTCCCTTCAAAGCTATGCAATATTTTGTTTTGGTAGAACTCGTTCAAGGGAGACAGGATTTTGTCCTGGATTGCTATATTGCTTTGAAATTCAGAAAAAGTTGCCTCACCTAAGCAGAAATAATGGAGGGAGCTCACCTGGGATGATGGAAAAAAGCACAAAACAACATGACAACACAAAGGGTGTGATGGGAAGTTTATCCAGAGCTACATTAATGAGTGGAGCTTCTGTGCCATCATATTCAACATGTATCATCATTTTCTTAGTACATAATTATCTTTCTTCTTACATTTGAATTTAATGTATTGTGAATTTAATGTATGAAATAAATATATTTCCCCCATATTTCTTATTTTTACATTGCCTATTGCCTATATATAATAATAAAAATAAATTTATTTACGGTCACAGACCAAAATGCAAGCATAGCTACAGAAAAACATAGGGAAAAGAACATCACGAACAGCCGGCCACCGGAAGCCCCGGCTGAGAGGGACCACAGCGCTCTCCTCTAATGGTTACAGCTCTTAGAAAAAAATTTGAGACCTGAGAGGTAATGTATGAGGAGCCATCCCCTAGACAATACAAGGCCAAATCACTATCATTGGGCCCACAGAAATCTGTCTCTAAGAGAGACATCAAATTAGTCCTGGCTACGTTGTACATGGGGCAGTGTAAAAGGACATGCTCCACAGTCTCAACCTCCGCTCTACCACAGGGACATAGCCGCTCGCCCCTCGGAAGCCTCTTGAATCGACCGTCCAGCAATGCTGAAGGCAAGACGTTAAAACGAGCAAGGGAGAAGACTCTTCTATACTTAGGGATGGTTAGAGTATAGAAATATGAGGCCATCCTCAGTCCAAAATTATTAAGTTGGCTGAAGACCAGAGGGGAGCAGGTTTTATTGGCTCTAGCTCTCAGATATTGTAAGTCTATGTCCACAAGCCGTTGGACTACCCTACATTGGGCATCTTTAAGGCCATAGTCTCCCATGGCATCCCCCGAAAAACCTAACAGGTGGAGTTTCTTCGTCAGATCCCTCTCCCACCGAGACGTATAGGGGTCAGCTAACACCAGGGAGAGGTAGCTGCCAGGGGCTGCCAAAAAGAGTGCCCGAAACCACCATTTAAAGGTGTTGATCCACGCCATGCATTCGACTGATCGAATGCCCAGTTCCAGATACATCGGAGCAAAGCCAACACAGGGAGGGAGACCCAAAAGTTTCCTTAAAAAAGCAGCCTGCGTTCTTTCAATACACTCCTTGAAGCCCTGTATCCATATCGGAATTCCATAAAGAGTTTGGGCCAAGGTTTTGGCTTTGTAAATACGCAGAGCAGAAGGAATAAATTGGCCACCTTGGGTATAGAAAAATCTTAAAATCTGCTGATGGCTACAAAAAGCTGAATTCAGCACCTGGGTTCGGTGTCTAGTCCAAGCACCAGTGTTCTGAAAATGTATACCTAAATACTTAAAATGGGAAACCTGCTTAACAGCATTACCCTTAATAGCCCAGTTGTGTAACTTCCGGGCACTAGAGAACACCAAGACTTTTGATTTGTCGTAGTTAATGGACAAGTGATTCTCAGCACAGTAGGACCCAAATGCAGAGAGAAGCCTTTTCAGGCCAAGCCTCGTCAGTGATAGGAGGACTGCGTCATCAGCATAAAGGAGAAGCGGGATCTTCGTTGTTGACAGCTTTGGGGCGTGAGACTCAATACATCCAATATAAGAGGCCAAATCAGATAAAAATAGGTTAAACAAAAGAGGAGCCAGGAGACAGCCCTGCCTTACTCCACTCTTTATCGGGATAGGGTTAGAGAGTTCTCCCTGCAAACTACACCTGACCTGACTAGAAGTCTGATTGTATAGGGATCTAATTAGGAACAACAGACGTCTGTCGATGGAGCTTTTGAACAATTTTGTCCACAACAATTCCCTTGGGATTGAATCAAATGCTGCCTTTAGATCGATAAAAGCAGTAAAAAGTTTACCACCTGGTATGGTGGCATATTTGTCAACCAGGTGCGCTAGGACAAAGCAGTGGTCCAATGTGGCACAGCCTGCTTTAAACCCAATCTGTTCAGCACCAATAATGTTGGACTCCTCGACCCAGGTGAGGAGTCTGCGTTGGAGATATTTAGCGTACAATTTCCCAATGATGGAGAGCAGACTTATAGGACGATAATCGGCTGGGTTGTTCCTATTTCCTCGTTTAAAAATAGGGACAATAATTGCTTGGTTCCAGGAGGTAGGAATCCTGCCAGAGGTATTGATATGGGTAAAGAGTGTTGCTAAAAGAGGAGACCACCACTTGGGATTAGATTTTAACAGATCAGGAGGTATAGCATCAGGGCCAGGAGCTTTGCCTGACTTAAGTTCAGAGATAAGCTCGTTGATCTCAGCATGAGTCACGGGGTGCCAGTCCGGAATTGCAGGGGGCAGTTGTTGTCCGAGTCCGGTCGTGGCTATTGAAGCCTGGAAGATTGATCCAAAATGACTTTCCCAATCTCTGTTGGAAATACAACAGAGAGGGAGTTCTTGATGACCAGGCAGCGAACAGGCGACCATTTGCCAAAATAGTCGGGTGTTCTTCTGCTGAATAGAGAGGAGAAGTAGGTCCCACTTCTCTTTTTCTTTAGCCCTCTTTTTCTTAACAATTAGTCCTTTATACTCCCGCTTCAGGTGGTAATAGTCCTCAGGTAGGCGTTTATCCCCTCGATTACGATAGAGCAGGTAAACCTGTCTGATCTTGTTCCTGAGCAGCACACATTCTTCATCGAACCAGGGATTGCTTCTTGGACGATATGGGCCACTTGGCCTACGATCAGCTCCTAGTTCCCTTTGAATACTGTTAATTAATGATTCGAAGGTCGAGATTGCCGCTGAGTCACTGCATGTTAAGGCCTGATTGTATAGGCTAAGACACTCCGGCGATGATAAAAGAGAGTGGAACTTTCTTTCAGTCTTGGGAGACCATTTGATCCTCCTTGCATAAGAGGTCACATAAGATCCAGTATTTGGGGGCCCTTAGGCAGATGTATATTTGTAAAGAGCCCAATGATTGTGACCAGGGGGTAGTGGTCGCTCTCTGTGAGGCAGTCCACAAAAAAAGCATGGACTGCCTGTCTTAGTGGCTGGGAAACCATCACAAAATCAATAACACTACTCCCCGTGAAGAGCTAAAAGTAAATTCACCCGCTAGATCGCCTGGGGTACTCCCGTTAAGGATTGTCATATTGTGTTGGGATGCTAAGAGGGCTAATTGAACGCCGGCAAAATTTGTTAGCTCATCCTTAGAATGCCTGGCTGAGAACTGGTGTCCTATGGCCTGGCAGATTTCTTGGGAGTAGAGTGCCTCAATTGGTGGGGGAATTTGGCCTCCCAATCGGGCATTAAAGTCACCCCCTATAAAGATGTACGGCGCTGGAAATTTAGTTTCTGTATGGGTAATATAGCTCTCCAGTTCGCCCCATTGAGCCTTAGTGTCGGCTTGCCTCACCGTCGGGGGAAGGTAAACGTTGAACACTAGCATTTTACTGTGTCCTCTCTTAATTAGGAGTGCCATGGCTAAGGACCCACTGGGGGGGAGCTCCACTGTCTCCACTTTCAGGGAGGTAGAGACCAAAACAAGCTAAACCACCCTTAGGTCTTCCCGACTTGAATTGTTTGGTAGCAGCCAAAGAAATGGCCGTAAACCCTGTAAGGGATATCTTATCGCATGCCCAGGTCTCCTGAAGCAGGACCACATCAAATGACTGAATATAGTTAATAAAATCGGTGGTGCCGCACCTTCTCCCCCAACCTGCTATATTCCATGAAAGGCATCTAAGTGTGCAAGGGGGGGATGCCGGGTTTGCTAGTCATTCTGTATAATTAATTTTTTCCAGAGAGCCCTTCAAATCCGAAAAAATACAGCCGTTATTCGATGGAAGTGTCACCCTTTTGGGAGATAAAGGCAAAGAAAAGTGGAAGGGAGGCGAGCCTTGTTCATGAGGCTGTAGGGCTCTACACGCAGTCCAGTTTATGCTTCTATCGTTCATTGGTTGCTTACCTGGCAAGCATTCGGTGACATCAACAGATGGGGTTTGGAGTAGCCCTGGATCTTCAAGTTTACAAGTTGGACATTCTGGAGGGAGGGCCGAGGGAACTGCCTCTGATAAATTGATGTGGACTCCCTGGGGTCCAGGGGGATCCTTATCAGGTAGTGAAAGACTCCAGAGCTTGGATTTAACTGCAGACAGGCGCGTTATAATTTGGGCCCTTTCTGGTTGTGGAAGTGCGCGAAAGGAGTCGAAAAGCTGTATCTCCTCCAGATTCCAAAAATTGTCTTGAGATGGAATGGTTTCATAGATGGGTGGAATCCCAGAGGCACTAGCCTGAGGCTTATTCACTAAGGAACTTTGGAGGCCCGGGCTGGTGTCGCTTCCTTTGGGGCCATTTCTTCCCAGCTGATCAGATCGTGACAAACTTCCTGATGAGATGGGCCTCGCTGAGGGGAGAAGATTTGACCAGCTGTAGGAGGAACAGACAAGGTACCATCTGAGAAGATGCCATCGGGAAGTCTTGCAGGAATGGATCTGTGTTTGATAAATGGTCTAGTATTAGGGATGGCATTCAAAATTGGCACATTAGTATGTGCTGCTAAGGGTCTTTTTGGGGCTGTAAGTCTCCTGCTGGTCACAGATTGTCTGTTTCTTAAGAGTGGCTTAATCGATATATCTTTGAAGACTCTGCTTGGCATGATGCCGAAAGATCTTAGCAGAGAACTTCTCCTGAAGAATAATTTCGGGGTGCTGGAGTTATCAAAATTAAGTAACACTCTGGAGCAGTATGCAGGGGAGGGTAAAAGTTCAATCTTCTTCAGATCATCAGCAGTCAACCCCAGTAGCTGTAGTATATGACCCCTTGCCAGCTGAATTGAGCCCCAGTAAGGCAAATTGCCGTTAATGGGATTAATATTAAGGGCCACCTGTCTTGGCTGTAAAACCAGGTGGCTTCTCGCACCCAGAGGTGTAGAGTTCAACCCACTGGCAGAGCCACCCCAACCGGTACTTTTGCTGGGGCCCGACAGGGAGGGCCCTGTCACTGAACCAGGCTGCCGAGCAGTCCGTCCAGGGCAGCCGGCGGTAATCGAGGAAACTAGACAATCTAAAGTACTTATTATTTTATCAAGCTGTGACTGTATACTCGCAGTTGTTTCTGCAACCAGAAAACATTGCTGGGCCAAGAGTTCTATAAGAGTAGGTTCATTTGAAGGTTGAGTGGGGGCCATAGTTTTTGAAGAGCCTTTGTTCTCAACTCGGGGGACGACATCCTCGACCAACGGAAGATCACGATGACCAGCA